CACCAGACACGAACGGTGCTTCGGAGATATCGGTGATCGAATACAGAAAGTCGAATAGCATCCTCAACGCAGGCCGGGTTTCGTGCACGCCGTAGATGCGTAGATCAAATCTTCACCCTCCGCCAGCTGCTAGAACACCGCCACAAATACAGACAACAAACCATTGTCGTGTTTTTAGACATGAGAGCGGCACTGTGGAACAGTTTGCGAGAAACGGAGTACCCGAGACGTTTGTCTCACTCCTAAAAGCACTGTCACCAGAGCTTGGGGAAGGTTAGGGCCTATGGTGGGCTTTCACCTTCATTTCCTGTCACCAGTGGGGTACGACAAGGTTGCCCGTTTCTCTTTAACTTTGCCATAACAAAACGCATTACATAATGCAGCGAACGCTGGCGTCAAGCTTCTTCCTGGGGACAGAGTCGTAGACTTGGAGTACGCCGACGATATTGCCTTACTGGGTGACAACGCACCAACGATTCAAGAGTCGTTGACAATTGGCAATCGAGGTTACTCGCTATGGTATGTCATTTGCACTTTCAAAGTGCAGTGTTGTTGCAAGATTGGCAGGAACCCATTCCTGCACTTTCATTGGATAATGACACTGGAAGTAATCGAAAGCTTTGTCTACCTTGGGAGTTGCGTAACAGCTGGCGGAGGTGTAGGCGAGATCTCTTAACGCGTGATCAAAGCTAGATTAGCGCTTGCTAATCCGCGGCATCTGTGGCACCGGCGCGATATATCTTTTTCACTGAAAGGGTGTGTATATTGCGCAACGGTACGCACCGTGTTGCTCTATCGCTGCGAGACCTAGCTTCTCCGAGCCGATCACGTCCAGCAGCTATCAGTCTTCGACAACCGTTGTCTGCGCAACATTGCTCGCGTATGGTGGGAGCATGGCGTGAATAACGATGAAGTCAAACAACGGGTGCTAGGACCAGATAGCCTTCTTTTGGGCAGGCTACTACGTGGCGAAGAAGGTTAAAGAGATTGTGCTCGGATCTGGCTTCCGTTAGGGTTTTTCGGCTCCCCGGCTGGGGCCCCAAAGATTCAGATCGTCTTTGGCTGGAGACGATGCGGGATATGGCATCGAATCGAAGTCTGGCGCGAATGCATCACCTTGTTTACGATCCCAAAAATAAACAAAAACGAAAAAATACCTCAAAATGGCGTGCAGTAAACGAAAAAATTATTACTCCTCGAAGTTGACTGTTTAATTTTCTTCGTTTTTGTACCTATATTTTTTCGTTCATCTATAGTTATTTTTGGCGCCGTATCTGTAGAGATTGATGTTTATATATATATATATATATGACAGTTCTGTAAACAACGGTGTTGATTGTTGTTTTTGTAGCTCGGGTAGTGTAACTTGGTGTTCAGTTGTTCGCCGAGCTCGGCGAACGCAGAAAGACCAGGTCTCGCAACCATAAAGCAGAACACTACGCACTGCGGCGATGTACAAACTTCCCTTAAGGGACAGTCGGATTTCATGCCGGCGCCACAGCTTTCGTGGGTTGGCGAAAGCTGCTCTAGCTTTCACTATTCATGACGTGATCTCCTCCCCAACATCCCGACCAGCTGCGGTCAAGCCCCCGAGGTACTTAAAGCTCTCGACTACTTCTAGCTGATCATTGCAGAGGGTGAGTGCAGGCACAGGCACCTGCCAGTCTCGAACAAGCATTTTGCACTTGGAAGGGGTAAAGCACGTATCATACCTGGACACCTCTATCGCCAAGCGGTTCAAAGCGTTTTGGACTGCCTGTGCGTTGTCAACCAACAAGGCGATGTCATCGGCATATTCTAAGTCAAGGACTCTGTTCCCTGGGAGGAGTTCGACTCCACCGTTTGCTGGACCGGACAAAGCATAATGTGGAACATCCTCTACGACAAAGTTGAAAGGTAATGAGGATATAGGACAGCCTTGCCGAACTCCACTGGAGACGGTGGAGGGTGGCGAAAGTTGGCCATAGGCCCTAACCTGACCTGAGGTATGATGAAACAACTCTTTGAGGATCGGCACATACTCCTCAGGTATTCCATTCCTTAACGAACAGTTCCATAGTGCGGTCCTGTCGACAGAGTCGAAGGCCGCGCGGATGTCTACGAATAAGCTCGTTGGTCTTTGATAAGCATGACGGTGCTCTAGCAGCTGTCGGAGGGTGAAGATTTGATCGATGCATCCACGACCGACACGAAACTCAACCTGCTCCTCGCGGGTCTACTCCTCTCGCGTAGTGTACAATCGGTGGAGAATGATGGACGCCAACAGCTTTGACGCTATTGGCATAAGGTGTATACTCCTATGATTAGCGCAATCATTGCGCGGGCCCGTTTTGAAGATGGGGACAACAATCGATTCCCTTCACGAGGAGGGGACTTGCTCAGTGTTCCACACTTGTAGTTCTCTAACAAGCTTTACTCCACCATCTTTAAATAGAGCAAGGAGAAAGCCATCGGAGCCCGGCGCTTTGTGACGTCCCAAGGTTTGGATCTCCTTACGGATTTCCGCCTCGGAAGGTGGGTCTGTTGTGACAGACCATGGGACGTGTACCGGAATAGCTGTGTGAGAAGCTGACGCTGGTGGCCAGCTAAATTGTGCTTCGAATTGCTCTGCCCAGCGTTCAAGGCGTCGCTGCTGATTATGAATGGGCGAACCGTCAGCTTCGCAGATCGTTTCGCTCACCCAAAGTTTTTCTACTGGTGACCCGGATGAGATGGAACAGCTTACGGGAATTACCCATGGCGGCAGCACGTTCCATCTCTGATGCGCGTTGAGACCACCAAATCTCGCGGTCTCTG